TGTGTGTGTGTGTGTGTGTGTGTGTGTGTGTGTGTGTGTGTGTGTGTGTGTGTGTGTGTGTGTGTGTGTGTACGTATGTGTTTATATATATATATATATATATATATATATATATATATATATATATATATATATATATATATATACATATATATATATATATATATATATATATATATATATATATATATATATATATATATATATACATAAACACAAACACACACATTTGTGTGTGTGTATGTGTGTGTGAAATTAAATTTTGGGAATATTAAGTTTCCTCTGATCGATACACCAACTAAAATCTGCATCACCCATGGCTTCCAAAAGTCTTGGACATCGAAGCCCTCCTGAAATGCAGCCCGAACGCCACCAGCGAAGAGTTCGGCATCTGCCTCCCGCTCGCCCACTGCGCCAACACAGGGGGCGTTCCTGCCGGGACCTGCGCAAGGGGCTTCGGTGTCTGTTGCATCGGTGAGTAAGCGACCCTCTTCCGTCGTCTTGTACTGGATGTGAATGAAAGTCCGTGATTTGTAGACGTAGGAAGGGTATAAATAATGTGGGAAGGATGTGTTTATTCCTTTAGTATGTAGATGGGAAAGAGGTTAAGTGTGTACTGATTGTCTTATTGTCCGAATTGTTTCATTGTATGATTGTATGAATTGTTTTTATTGTATTATTATATGAATGTTATTCTTCTGTGACCTGTTTTTTTAGAACAATTCCTCCATTCAATAAAAACATCCCACCCTCTCTTCCTTTACACACAAACAGCCCAGCGTACCTGTGGCGAAAGCACAAGTTATACCCACACAAACTTCGTGAACCCCGGGTACTATGATTCAGATACAGGAAGCGGCGCCTGCACGCTGACGGTCAACCACGCCAACAAGAATATCTGCCAAATACGCCTCGACTTCTTGGAGCTGGAACTTGCCCAGCCGGACACCGATGGCAACTGCAACATAGACTTCTTGGCCGTCACTGGAGGAGCTTCCACTGTGCCCACGATCTGCGGGTCGAACTCGGGCCAGCACAGTGAGTTAGGTGGAGGATAGGGAGGGAGCGATGAAGGAGAGGGGAAGGGGAGGGAGTAAAGTAGGGAGAATGGAGGGAGGGAGTGACGAAGGAAGTACAGAACGAAGAGAGAAAGGGAGAGAAGGAAGAAGGAAGGAAGGAAGAGGGAGAGAAAAAGAGGGAGTGAAGAGGGAAAGAAAGAGAGGAAGTGAAGAGGGAGAGAAAGAGATGGAGTGAAGAGGGAAAGAAAGAGAGGAAGTGAAGAGGGAGAGAAAAAGATGGAGTGAAGAGGGAAAGAAAGAGAGGAAGTGAAGAGGGAGAGAAAGAGATGGAGTGAAGAGGATAGTATGGATGGAGAGAGAATGGGAAGGGAAATGGAGAGGGAAAGGGAGGGCGTAATGAAGGAAGGAGGGAAAGATGAGAGGAAGGGAGGGAGTGAAGAAGAGAGTAGGAATGGAAAGAAAATGGAAGGGGAGAATTGAGAAAGAAAGGGAGGGAGTAAATAAGAGAAGAGGGAATGGGGAGGGAAAAGGAAGAAAGGAAAAATTTAAGGGGTAAGGGAGTGGGTAATGAAGAGGGAAACGATAGGTGTGATAAAGAAGATAAAGAAGAAAGAGAGGGCGAGAAAAAAATATCCAATAATATTGCAAAAAATATGTAGCATTGTAAATAACTCTTATCTACATAAACAGACAAAATAGAAGAAGACTAACCTGTACTACACCCGTTTATTACCCCAAGCATACATGTACATATGAACACACATATTTTGTATACTACACCCATTCTCCTATCTATTCTCCATGATTTTTTTCCTCCTCCACCCCCTCCTCCACCCCCTCCTCCTCTCCCTCCTCCACCCCCTCTCGACCCCTTCCTCCTCCACCCCCTCCTCCACCCCTTCCTCCTCCACCCCTTCCTCCTCCACCCCCTCCTCCACCCCTTCCTCCTCCACCCCTTCCTCCTCCCCCTCCTCCACCTCCACCTCCATCCCCTCCTCCACCCTCTCCTCCACCCCCTCTCGACCCACAGTGTACATCGACGTTGACCCAACCTGCGGCGCCCTCAAGGTCACGGTTGACAGGTCGCCGGCCCCGCTTGCTTCTCGCTGGTGGAATATCAAAGTCACTCAGATCCCTTGTGACTCAGAAGCAAGAGGTGAGAGTGACGAAACTTTCCTGATTTTCGTCTTTGTTTTTTCTTTTTTTTTCTTTTTTTTGTTTCATTTTCTCATATTTATCATTATCATTATTATTATTGTTGTTATAATGATTATTATTATTATTACTATGACTATCATAATTATAATAATTATGATTATTACTACTACTATTATTATATAATCATTATTGTTATTATTATGAATATTATTGTTATTATTGCTATTTTTTATTATTGCTATTATCACTGATGGTATTATTATCGTCGTTTTTGTGACTCAGAGGGAAGAGGTGAGAGCGACGAAACTTTTTTTTGTCTTTTTCGTCTTCTTTTTATTGTTTTTCTTCTTTATTTATTTAACAATCATTGTTGTTATAATTATTATTTATTATTATTATTGTCATTATTTTCATCAATATTATTAAAATAAACTTTGCTCTTTTTTCTTTCCCTCTCCCCCTCCCTCTGCCTGCACGTCCCCCCCCTCTCCCCCCCATACACACCCCTACACCCTACACACCCTCTCCTATATCCACCCGACCCCCCACAATTATTATGCCACCCCCACCCCCCACCACCTGCTAACCTCACACCCTTCACCTGTTAACCCCCCCCCCTCCCCACCTTCAGCGCCTACCGGATGCCTTCAGTACTATACAGAGACTTCAGGCTACGTCAAGAGTTTCAACTTCGATAGTTACAACTCTTTTAATTATTCAGGTAAGGTGAAAATTGTGTATCTGTATGAATTAGCATGCTCTGGAAATACCTGATTATTATCATTTTTTTTTACTCTGGTTTTATTGTGAGAATTATAGGGGTTTTAGATCGACTCATGATAACGTAACGAATGTTTTTTTTTTTTTTTTTTTTTTTTTCATTTTCAATATTCGTATTTGTTTATTTATTCATCTCTGCATTTCTATAAATGAGTTTCCTTAAAACCTCTTATACACTTATCCACTGAAAGATGAGGTATATGCAGATTTTTCTATCATTTAATCTGTACTTTTATGTGTAATTCACCTGTACCTTTTCCCCATAAAATATTGACTTAAATATAAAAGTTATTTTTTTTATGGAATCAATGGTATATTTTTTTCTGACTTTCCTAGTTCCTTGTTTTTCTGATTTTATTTTTTTCTTACTAGATGCACTTACGCCGCTAACTATCTGTCTTTCTTATACATTCTTATTCCCTTTGCCCTCTAAGGAACTACCAACTGAGAGAGAGAAAAAAAAGAATATATGAAACCCTCTCTTTTTCGGTTTATCTTCTGCCTCTTTCATCACTCTCTCTTTTCATTTGTCTATCAAGCTCTCTATTTTTCAGCCTTAAGGACACGCCGGTGAATGCAGATTTTTTATGTTTCCTACTTTACTCATTTACCTCTCTCATACACTATCTATCTATCTATCAGTTTGTCTATCTAACTGTCTCTCTCTCTCTCTCTCTCTCTCTCTCTCTCTCTCTCTCTCTCTCTCTCTCTCTCTCTCTCTCTCTCTCTCTCTCTCTCTCTCTCTCTTACTTACCTAGCCTACCATCCAAACATCTATCTATCTGTCCATATATCCATCTATCTATATATCCAACCACCTATAAATCCATCTATCTATCTATCTATCTCTCAGAGAACAGCCAGATCGCCCAACAGAACTACGGCGTATGTATCAAGGCGGGTGAGGGGTACTGTGGTATTATGTGGGAGCGAATGACAGTTTTTGGGTTCACCGTCAGCGGAAATTTGCCTGTTATTTCGCCTTCTCTTGTTGGTATAGTGGATAGTGTTTATTGTTATAGTTGTTATTATTGTTATTCGATTTTTTTTTCTTATTTTTTTTCTCTCTTTGTTTATCTCTCTCCTCTCTGTCTGTCTCGCTCTCTCTTACTCTCTCTCTCTCTCTCTCTCTCTCTCTCTCTCTCTCTCTCTCTCTCTCTCTCTCTCTCTCTCTTTCTCTCTCTCTCTCTATGCTTGTCTAGGTTTGCCGATGCAAATTACCACAAGGTAGTACAATGCTTTCATTTTTTATCCATTTACTTAAATTTCTTTATGATTGCCCTTCTGTCAATTACCGGCGCTGCTTCACACCCATTTTTCCGCCCGATTGCCTCACGCCCACCCCCTGCAGGCACGGCCGCGGCTAGCAGCACGGGCGCGACGTGCACGACCGACTACGTGATCATCCCGGGCGGCGTCGACAACAATCAGAACTCAGAGGACAGGTTCTGCGGCCTCGGGTTCCCGGACTCCGTCACCTGTGAGTGGCCGGGGCGCTCCTTTCCTACCGCAGAGGAGTTTGTGCTCCGTTGAACGCACATACGCACACTCACGCAGACATGGACACACACACACTCATGCAAGCACGCACACATCCACGCACGCATGCATGCACTCACTGTGAACAATACGTAGCAAGACCGGATGGCAGATTCACACCTAGGTCCAAGCAGATGCCTTTCTCCTTGCGCAGGATGCAGGTGCTGCCTTCCTTTCTCTTTTCGCACAGGAATAAACATCCGACCTCCAAGGAAACCGCCACATAAAAGGGCACGCGCCTAAGGAGACACGGGGGAGACACAGGGAGACACGGCAGACAGGCCAGGCCACACAGGGTCCAGCTCCACAACCTTGTCCTCCACCCGGGGACACGGGGGTCTCTCGGGGGTCTCATATCTACCTTCAGAAATAAACCAGCAAGACCCCTTTCATTAACCGCCCCAAGACCTTCTCTGTTACACTTACATCTAGTGGCTTGCGGTGGTCACACACATACACACACACACACACACACACACACACACACACACACACACACACACA